TAAACAAAAAAAAACCTTTTCCCAAAAACAAAAAAAAAAAAAAAAAAAAAAAAAAAAAAAAAAAAAAGATATCCCACAATGAGTTGGGCTTGGTGCATGCCTTTAATCCCAGCACTTGGGAGGCAGAGGAAGGCAGATCTTTGAGTTCGAGGCCAGCCTGGTTTGCTAAAGAAGAAGACAGGGCTGTGAATTTATGGCTGTTTTGTGTAAGTCCTAGCATAGGGCTTGCATGGAGAAGACCTTTCTCATACAGCCACTTCTAGGACCCTCATGGACACCCAGATCCGCCCATGTGCAAGCCCCTTATTTAAAGTGGTTTAGTATTTGCATGTAATCCATGCACATTTGCCTACTGAACCCAAATCACCTCTGGATTACTTATATCTAACATAACGCAATGAGGGATGAATAGTGGCAGCCTGTCCCCAAAGGAAACTGAATTTAATCAGCAGGGTAAGTGGGTGGGTCTTGAGACCATGATTCAGCCTCCAGGTAAGAGGGGGTGTCTGAGAGAGAATCCATTGTTTTACCACTGTCTGGAAGCAGGAGTGCAGCTGGGTCAGGAACGGGGGCTTATCCAGCAGGGCCAGAACCCGCTTTTCCACCATGGTGCACTCCACGTCATCATCCTGGATCACCACGTCCTTCTTCAGGATTTTGATGGCATACAGTTCCTCTGTTCCCTTCCTGTCAGCGAGCATCACCTGGGGGTGGAGGGAAGGAGAGAAGGCTCAACACTGGTGGGCAGTGGAGTCTGGGAGTGGGAGTGGAGGTTGTGAGGAACAAGGGCAGGAGACCGTTCAGCAACCCATGGTGCAAGTCTGAGAGTGTGAGATGAAAAACATACTTAGCCATTTTGATATGGTTCCATTATGGGTAGCAGCGCTTACGGTCCACATGCAGAAGTCTTGGTCCCTGGTGTGGCAATAGTGGGGAGTGGGAGTCCCTGGCAATAGTGGGGAGAGGGAGTCCCTGTAGGAACTAAGGTCTGTTCTAGCTTCAGTTCTGTTGCTGTGATACAATACACTGACCAAAAAAAATTAAGGGGGAAATGATTTATTTCAGTGTACAATTCCAAGTTACAGGCCGTCATTGTGGAGATGTCAAGGCAGGAACGTCAAACAGCTAGTCACAATACAGCCACAGTCAAGAGCAGAGACATGAATATATATGTGCTCGCCTGCTTGCTTGCATGCTTGTGCTCAGCTCACTCTTAAGCAATTCATCATGCCTTGCCTAGGGAATGGTGCTTCTCACAGTGGGCTTGGTTTCTCCATATCAATTGCCCATACATGTTCCCATAGTCCAAACCAATGTAGACAATCCCTCATTGAGACTCCGTTTCCAGGAGATTCTAGGTTATGTTAAATTGACAATGAAAGCTATCACAGTCCCTTAGGTCATTGGGGGCATGCAATGTCCTTGAGGGGCACTGAGGGACCCTTGAGGGACCAGGGTCAGATTCTTTTCTTGTTTGGTTCCCTGGCTGATTAAATGATGATGCAGTTTATTCCAGCACACATTCCTGCCATGATGTACTGTCTTGAAAGAGGCCAAAAGTAATCATGAACCGAAACCTCTAAAACCATGAGCCAAAACAAACCTTTTCTCTATATAAATAAACAGCCTTGGGTAACTCAATATAGTTACAGAAAGCTGGCTAACATTAACTTTACATTTGGATTTGAAAGTACTGCAAGATACAACAAGTTAAAATTCCTTCATCATTCATATTCCTTTTCTAAAGTATCCAGGTTTGTAGACAGCATAGGATATTAATATACAAAGTTGCTATTTTGTCTGATGATGGGAATATTTAATATTCTTTAATGGGATCAGTCTGGAATTATCCATATTCATGTTTTTTGGAAACATTCTGAAGGCCTAGAACACAAAGAAGAACAAGTCTCACAATCAGTTCATGGGTATGTCACAGGGTTTAGGGCCACAGAGGCCAAACGCTGCACAGACTAAAGTCCACAGGGAGCCATTGTAGGGTTTCAGCATGATGATCACCCAGGCTTAGGGCAAGTTCACGTTTGATTTTCAGCTGTGAAAATGAATCATTCTACTAGCATTTTGGAGCATGCCTTCTAGGAAATGGGGATGCCATGAACTTTCTGTAGCTTTTTGGGTTAGTGTGTGTGTGTGTGTGTGTGTGTGTGTGTATGTGTGTGTGTGTGTGTATGTGTGTGTGCGCACACAACGTGCATGTAAGTACACTGAGGGACCCCATGTATGTGTTCATAATGGTTGAGAGGCCAGAGGACAACCTCAGGCACCATCCATCACTTTTCTTTTCTTTCCCTTTTTTGTTTTGAGGTAGAGTCTCTTATTGCACTTGGACTGGCCAAGTAGGCTAGGTTGGCTGGCCAGCTGGGCCTCAGGAGCCACTGTCTCCAGTGCTGGGACTATAAGTGAGTGCTAGCACACCTCACACGGGCTCAGATCTCAGTACTTTATTGACTGAGTGATCTCCCCAGTCTCAGCACAGCTGTTCAAAGAGATGTATTTTATTTCTAATTAATCACATATGTGTGCATGTGTGTGGTTGGTGGGGTATGTGCATGAGAGCACAGGTGCCCACGGAGGCCAGAGGTGCTGGATGTCCCAGAGCTAGAATTGCAGGGGGTTGGTTATGAGTTGCCTGAAGGGTGCTGGAGGCCAAACACAGGTTCTCTGGAAGGAAAGCAAGTATTCGTAACTGCTGAGTCATCTCTCCAACACTATAGCGGTTTTTAATGGCGTCCGAACTATCTGAGGAATGTGCGTATATGATCCAACCTTGAGCAGCCTCAAAGCAACGTTTATGCAAAACTCCTCCCTTCTTACCTTCCCGAAACTGCCCTTGCCCAGCACCATGAGGAAATTGAAATCTGTGAGTTTCACTCTGTCAAGGTTGTTGGATGGTTGCTTCCTGTCTTCCGAAGGGCTGATGACTTTGTTACCAGCAGGGCCGAGCTTGGCTTTCTGAAAGGAGCACAAACATGAGAAGCCACTGGTCACTTTTTGCCCCCAAGGAAGGAGTGACAGAAACCAGCACACGGTTAATAAGCTGGATGTCAGCTGTAAGGAGCCAGCGATGGGCTGAGAAAAGGAACGGGAGGGTAGGGGGTGATGGTTGGCAGCTGCACGCATCTCCTGGGGAGATCTACAAAGGGAAAACTCTTCACCTACTAGCAACTCTGTACAAGTACCGGGACTTCATTCAAAAGAACCTGCCCTTGGCAGGTGAATCCTAAGTCTGGCACAGAAAGCTGACTTGAGGGTGAATAGTGTCTTGAGATTGTTAACATAATCAAGGAAATGAGTTGTGAGTGGATGTTTTTCTTAGTTGTAGATTTTATAACAAATTAATCCATATGAAGGAAATTTGTACCCAGGCAGAATGTTCTCCAGGGAGGAGCTGCCTAATTGGTGAGCTTTTGGGATGATTTATTGCTACTTTCAAGAAAGCAGGAAGAACAGCGCTTTGTTTAGTTAAGTCAAGAGTTGGAGCGATGAAAGGAAATAGTCAGCTCCTGGCATCTGGTTTCACATCAGCCTGAAGGATACCTCGTAAGTGATGCTGTGGTACCAAAAGGAGTTTTTGTACATTGGAATCACACCACATGACAACCTTGGAGGTATCGGACTCTCATGGAAATCCTCACACTCACTGCGGATGGGGAAAAGGAAAAGGAAGAGGGCTCGGTGAAAGAAAAGGCAAATGAGACGCCATGGGAACTTATGGCCAGTGGTCAGCATGGAAGCCCCTGAGAGGGCAGAGAAGCCAGAGCGGGGGCAGCATCACACCCCTGCCAGACTTAGCATTTTCAAATGTCTGCTTGACAATGAGAGAGAGCCAGTGTCCTAGGCCTGGTGGATCGTCCACAGCCTCAGCCCCAATTTCAAATGCAAGTGTAATTGCTTTACATCAGTGGTTCTCAGCCTGTGGGTCTCAAGCCCTTTGGGAGTTGAATGACCCTTTCACAGGGGTCACATATTAGATATCCTGCAAATCAGACACTTAACATTACGATTCATAATAGTAGCAAAATTATAGTTATGGAGTAGCAATGAAAATACTTTTATGGCTGGGGGGTCACCACAGCATGAGGAACTGTGTTAAAGGGTTGCAGCATTAGACAGGTTAGGAGCACCTCCTCTTCCTCAGTGCAGCAGACCTAAGTGTGGGGTTAAGCTCAGTAGCAGGCACTAGGCTCTCACTCAGGTGCTCAGCACCTCTGTGAGTAGGTGTCTTCACCACTGTTGTGTTGCTGTGAGGAGACACCATGATCAAGCCACCTCTTATACAAGAAAGCACCTAATTGGGGTTTTGCTTATAGCTTCAGAGGGTTAGTTCATTATCATCATGGCAGGGGCATGGCGGAAACACGGTAGCACTCATGGTTCTGGAGTAGTAGCTCAGTAGTAGCTCCATCCTGATCATCAGGCAGAGAGAGACGGCCTGGCATAGGCTTTTGAGACTTCCTCCAATAAGGCTACTCCTAATCCTTCTCAAATAGTACCACTACCCAGTGGCTAAGTATTTGAATATAAGAGCCAGTGCGGGGGGCATTCTTATTCAAACCACTACAGTAGGTTAATGGGTAGATGGCAGAGCAGGTAAAGAGGCATCCAGGGGGTCTCACTATGGGCAGATGCCTTGGCAAGGCTGGGTTCTAGCTCTAGGGGAAATGTGTATTTGTAGGTTTGTTTCTTTATCATCAAAGGTTTCCCCCCTCAATGGAGACAATCCCCCCCAGATGTGGTTACAGGTCAACCCAATATAGGCAGTCTTCTACACTGTGTTACGGTGGGGATACAGGCATGACCAGTGGAGGCTCATCTCACTCAGGAAAAGTCTCCCCTCCAAAGTGCAACTCCACCTGAGATGGCTCATTCTGTGCTTTGGGATGAGGATGCTATGCTCACAGAGGGAGGCCAGCATATGGGGTCCAGATGATGACAAGGTAGTGTCACTAACTGTGCCCAAGATGGACAGCTGGTGCCTTGGGGGCCCAGCCCATTGGGTGGAGTTAGAGCTCACCCCTGCCCAAACTAGCTTGAGGTATAAATGGCCCAGGTATCTTCGTGTGTGTGCTGCTGTCCAGAGTGGCACTGCCTACCATCCAAGTTTTCCTACAGAGCATTTTAGAGCCATCTCCATTCTGCCATCTGTAGGCCTTGCTGCGTAAGGACACCAAGCCACCTCTGATACTAAACAGCCAAGAATACTTAGCAGCTGATTTTAGTTTGATTTATTACTGTGTGTTTATGATGTGTGTGTGTGTGTGTGTGTGTGTGTGTGTGTGTGTGTGTGTTGGGGGAGTTTTGGAGTTTGGGGGCAGTCCTAGAGGCCTTCTAGGAAGGTGAAGGGTCCCTGGTCAGAAGCCAGATGCTGTGAACAGCTGGCTTTCTTTTCTTCCTGGGATCGCATTCTAGAAGGTACAGCCATCCCATAACAGGTTCATCTTCCGAGCCCACCATTTCTTCCCCTTGGTTTCGAATGGGTTGCTTGGCAACTGGCTTCACAGCAGGACCGAGAGACCTGCCCTCGCTGACTTGCATATTTGTTGACATTACTCTAGCTGTCATGAGTGTAGCTCAGACTTCCTTTGCCAGGAGTGCAAATCGAATCAATATATGTGTGTATAGGGATACAGCTGGAGCCCATTGCTACCTGCTGACATCCTTTACTATAGCAATGTAAACAGGGACCAACGTGGGCAGATGCCCTGCTGGGGTGAGAGCAAACAGATGGCTAGGGCTGACAGACAGTGACAGGAGAAGTAGTGCATGGAAGACCCCTTCCATTTTCTGCCTGATGTCATTCTCACCACAGGGCAGGCAGATACTGGCTCATGCTTCGGAGGGGAGGGGATGGCAGGAGACCAAACCAAGATTTCTGTAACATCTAGATGTCAAGTTCCCTGCAGGGTTGGGCTAAGATCAGTTAAGGTAGTGGTTCTCAACCTTCCCCCCATTGGGGGTCAAACAACCTTTTCACGGATTGCGTGTTAGCTATCCTGCATATCAGATATTTACATTACAATTTGGAACAGTAGCAAATTACAGTTATGAAAGAGAGATGAAAATAATGTTATGGTTGGGGTTCACTACAAAATGAGGGTCACAGCATTAGGAAGGTTGAGAACTACTTGGTTAAGGCAAAGGTGTTGTAGAAAAGCATACAGTTGGGCATGGAGGCACACAGCTTTGATCCCAGCACTCAGGAGGCAGAGGCAGAGGCAGAGAGGCAGAGAGGCAGAGAGGCAGAGAGGCAGAGAGAGGCAGAGAGGCAGAGAGAAGCAGAGAGAGGCAGAGAGAGGCAGAGGCAGAGGCAGAGGCAGAGGCAGAGAGGCAGAGAGTCAGAGAGGCAGAGAGGCAGAGAGAAGCAGAGAGAGGCAGAGAGAGGCAGAGAGAGGCAGAGAGAGGCAGAGAGAGGCAGAGAGAGGCAGAGAGAGGCAGAGAGAGGCAGAGAGAGGCAGAGGCAGAGGCAGAGGGGTCTCTATGAGTTAGAGGCTAGCCTGGTCTACAGAGCTAGTTCTAGGACAGCCAGGGCTACACAGAGAGACCCTGTATTGAAACAAAACAAACAAAAAAACCAAAACATCATAGAAATTATTAAAAAAGGGGAAATGAAAACCTTGATGTGTGAAGTTGTAAAACTGAACAAGGCAATTCTAAATGCTAGAACTTTCCCTGTCTTTCTTCTTTTGACCTTAGACAAAAGTATAGCATGTGCTATTGGCTTTGACTAAAATCAGTTGTACCTGGGGAATTTGGATTCTTCAAAAGATGGCACCTGAGCATTTATTTGTCAAGCCTGGCCTCATGATACCACCTGAATTTCCAGGGTCTGATGAGCTCATGCCATATGACTTGCATTGTGGGGTGTGGTAGTGTAACCCTGAAGTCAGTTCCAGCACACAGAGGCAGCTGGACCAGGAGTTCAAGGCAGCCAGGGTTACATGGGTCTCTGACTTTAAAATCCATAAAATGTAATAACTTACATTAGGTATATGAAGGACAATGTGGTAGGAGACACACAATTTCTATCAGGTTAAACCATTTGCAGAAGCAGAGCTGGGATAATTTGACCTTTGGTAGCAGTGATGGTTAATGCCAAGACACCTTGCCTTGCTTGAATTGTGTGTACTTGAGTACATGCTAGACCCACATTTAGGTATGACTGTAAGTTTCCTGGTGGTCATTTGGGAAACCTGTTTTGTGAATGTGTTGTCAATAAAAGCATTTCCTTGCCTTAGTCCGAGCATGGCTTTGATGAATGTACTTATCAAAACTATTTTCAGTGTACCACAGTGACTGCCACTGAACTTGAGAGCTGTGGAAGGGTCTTTCTACTTCTGGCATTCTAGGGGTAGACAGGCCAATGGTGCCCAACCATGAAAACACATGGACTGTTATGGATTTTTCTTACATGTTTTCTTCTTTTTCTTTTCATGATGAAAATGCTCTGGGCTCATTATCTGAAAACGGACAAGGCATTTTAGCACTGTTCCACAGACTGGGGCAGGATTAGCAGCAACAGCTGTGCTGCACAGAACCAAGGTACAGGACTTTGCTTTCAAGGTTATGTATTCACCCTGCTGCAATGTTGGCTCGGAGCAATTGAGTGTGCTTCAGAAGCCAATCATGAGGACTTGGGGAGGGCTTGCTAGAGGGACCTGTCAGCTAGGTTAGCACCCGTGTTTCCAAATAGTAGTGAGTTCTGACATCTAGTGCTGCTACTCAGTTGCTAGGCAACAGGTTAAAAGGATGCTACTTTGTGGGCATTACAGGGTCTCAGACAGCACAGTGAAGTACAGGAGAAGCCGGTTGTTCTCTGGCTAACTCATACGTCATTTATTGGAACAGGCCAGCCATGCTGTCCCCTGAGGACCTTTGTGCTTTCTTCCTCCCGTAACACACATAGGCATATCACCTTCCTTCTAGCCTGCAGGTGATGCCTTAAGGCCCCGGGA